AGAATATCAAAACTATTGCCGAAAATCCAATAGGGTTTCAGCTATCCAACTGCATCCATTAATAATAATTTCTCATTATAAGTAACACATATGCTAACATTCGCATAGTTGAAAAATTATCATAACAAATTACTAGAACGAAGAAAGCTGGTTAAGAAAATAATACAATTTCATGAAAACGATAAATATTAAATATATTGCGAAAACAATGATTATTAGGCAAGTTTGGATTGGACAATGAAAAAAACCATGTACACCTAATAAAAACCATTCTGATTAGAATGTCATCTTTATCAATTAGATCGGACTCAGACAAATATTCACGGGTACGGTAATTTTTGCCATTTCGTATTTGCAGAGCAAGGTGTGGGAACCACGGCATTGTCCCCTCGCTGTCGAAGATCAACGGAAAGAGCTCGTCGTCGAGATCGGTTTACGTCTGGGTGGGGAACTCGGAGACTCAGTGCCCTGGCTTGTGCGAGTGGCCGTTCCACCAGGCTGTCAATGGGCCTCCGGGCCCGGTCCTGGTTGCACCCAATGGGGATGCTGCTATGGACGGAGTGGTGATCAACTTGGCAAGCCTGCTGGCCGGGGCCGTGACAAATCCATTTGGGGATGGGTATTTCCAGGGCCCAAAAGAGGCCCCATTGGAGGCTGGGTCGGCCTGTCCGGGTGTGTTCGGGAAAGGGTCACACCCTGGATTCGCAGGGGAGCTGCTCAAGGACGATAAGAGTGGCGCAAGCTACAACGCGAATGGGATTAAAGGGAGAAAGTTCTTGGTGCCTGGTCTGTTTGACCCTGCTACTTCCACATGCTCCACTGTAGGTTGAGATCACAGGATAAAACTGTAGTGTACATGCAAACCTACAAACCAATTTTGAACACAGCCTATTGGCCGGATGTGTTTTTTATTATTATTATTTATATTTGTTGATTTTGATTACTTCATTTATGTTTGAAATCCTTCATGTAGCCTTGTTGGATTTCGACAGAGTTTATGTAAAAGCTCAATTTATGAGCTAACTTTACAACCAATCATTCAATACTCAATGAATAATTTTTTTTATTTGGTTTAGCATAACCCAAAAATATTTTTAATTCGAAATACTTAACTCCTAGTCGAGTAATATGGAATGTTTGCTAAGTCGCTCACAAACATACGTATAAGCAAAGAAGAAAAATAGAGTTGTGCAATCTGAGGTGGATACTTTCTGATCATACATATAATCAATTGCATAGCAATTTACCAATTGGTTGATATGATTGTTTGGTACTTTTCATTCAATCAAGTATAAAATGAATTACCTTTCATTGTTTTTGATACCTCATAACAATTTCATGTGTCCTAAAGGCGTAGTCCCGATAGAGAATGAGAAGGTAACTCTAAAGCTCGATCATCCCACGACAGAGATTCAATATTGATTTATGATATTGCTTAATGACTCACTATGACACAACTCCTAACAAAGGCCAAGTGTAACCAATGAATGGGACTGCAGTATAGTGGCTCAAGTGATAAATATCGAATCCACGGGTTTCTAGAGTTACTATTACTCAACTTCAGTTTATTATTTAGCAAACCAGATTAAGATGAAAGAACTAAAACTAATCTAGCAAACTACAGTTAAAGTTAATCTAATTACAGGTTGGGAACTCACTTAGGCATGATTCCCCCTAGCCACTAGCCAGACTAACGATTGATGATTTCTAACTTGTTTCTCTTTCATTCACAATGCGGAGAATCCTTGACTAGACCTTTAGTCTCGACTAAAGGAACAAGGCCCTCTTGAGTCAATTGCCTAGAGGGACGTATCCTTCTCTAGAACAACCGATCAAGGCGTTCTGAACTAGACTCCCTCTATCGAAAGAAGTTCTCAATCGATACAAAGCAGTGAATCAACCCTCGACTAAAGCAATCGATCCACTACTATCAATCTATGGTGCTCTATTGACCTAATCAGGTATTCGCTCTCATAGGATCAAAGCAGAATCAATAATCTCTACTAAAGCAGAATTGAATCATGAAAACATGCATAGATTGAATATGAACTCAAGATTATCAAGTCAGAGTAATCATACAATCATCCAATCAAACAAACATAGCTAGGGTTCCTCAAAACCTAAGTGAAGGGAAGTTACTCCATAGAGAAGAGAGAGAATGCAGTAAGAATCTTCAGATGATCAGTCTTCAAGTCCGAGCTTGTTCCTCGAGCTTCCAAGGTAAAGAAATCCTCCAATTCCACTCCAAGAATGCCCTCAAATCGCCCTCTCTCTCTTTGGTTCGTCCCTTGGGTGTTTGGGATCCAAAATCCAGCTCACCCTCTCCTTTGGCTCGAATTTGGGTTAAAAAACCCGATTCCGGGCAAAACATGGTCGAGAGCACGGTCGTGCTTTGGTTTTGCCCCCCCCCCCCCCCCCCCCGTGCTTTGCCCCGTGTTAAAAACACGCCCGCGTGCGTCGGCCAAAACACGGTCGTGCCTAAATATGGGCACGGCCGTGTTTTGATTTAGGCGCGCCCGTGTTTTTACTGCCGAACCTGTTCCCCTATATTCAATGCATCGTTTCTCCCTCGTCCGGACTCCGAATCAGTCGCCGTTTGATCCCACACACTCGTAGTCTTGTCCTCTTTCTTTTCATGACAAGCTTGTATGATTCTTTGTCCATTAAGTGAGGTAGAAATCCATTCTTCTTCAAGTCATGCCCGAGTTTCTTCTCCCTTATCGCCAATTGATCTCTGATTGACTTGAAACTTGCACCTATGCTTCACTTTATGTGCTAGAACCTGAAATGTGACAAAGGAACACAACCTAGCGTAAAATAGGCAAAGACGCGATAATTAAATCTCAAACGATCAAGAAACAAAGGGGAAAACATGTGCAAATATTGAGTCATCACTTAATAGTTTGATTTCCTTGTTTAGCAAGGTCAATTTTCACTTGTAAGCTGGCTATCTTTATAGAATCACCTTGACTAAATTCAGATATGAGGTAATTCCATGCCTATAATGCCACTTTTATATTTCTCAAACTAATTAGGACAATATCCTATGATACAAAATTTGTTCCAACAAATTGCAGTTCTATTCACACAATCCCTAGTCCCATAAGAATGATCTAACAAAGGGGGTACATGAATCTTACCTAGGAAAAAGCCGAACTTGTTCTTTGTGCTCAAATATCAACGGGAAGAGCTCATCGTCTAGATCGGTTTACTTCTTGATGGGGAACTCGGAGACTCATTGTCTGGGACTGTGCATGTGGCCATTCCACCAGGCTGTCAATGGCCCTCTAAGCCTGATCCTGGTTTTCCCAACGAGGATAAGAGAAACGGAAGAAGAATAAGGATTTTGGTGGAGCAGGAGCAGCAGAAAACCTACTGTACTCTCTTTAGTGTTTTTCTATTTATATCAACTCGCAACGATAATCCATAGTGCTAACTGTTATATGAAATCTATTAATCAAAGCCCGACACATGGTTGGTTTGGACTCGTTATTAACAAATGTACTTAAATAGATTAAACAATAATGGGTGAAACAACGGTGTAATAAGAAATGCCACTCTAGTTCCAGACTTCCATTCTCCTCCACTTCAGTCCATCGTGTTGGTGCTGATGAATTGCCTGAATCCTTGCTTCATTAGGATTTGAAATGGATGATTGTGGTGGCTACTGTCTTTCTGGTGTCAGTTCCCTGCTTGTCTTCTAATAGGCCCCCACAAAAAGGAGAGTAAACATCAATTACTCCCATCTTGCCAAGTATTTCAAGTAGCTTGTATTTGCTAACTCCCTTAGTGAAGATATCACCTAGCTAATATGAAGTGTGTAAATGGCTTAACCTGATCATGTTTGTCTTAACTCTTTCTCAAGTAACATGCATATCAATTTTCATATTCTTGGTTCTTTCATGAAAAACAGGGTTCTCAGAAATGTGAATTGCTGACCGGTTATAACAGTAAACAGTAATTAGAGTCTTAGATTGAACTGCCAACTCTGACAACAATTCTTTGAGACATTGAATCTCACAAACCAAATGAGCAAAGGCTCGATACTCTGCCTCCTAATCAACCTTTTGTAGAACTTAGGATCAATAGGAACTCCTTCTCTAGAACTTAGTCTTACCTTCATGTCAATGGGAGTCAGTGTTTCCTTTGCATCTTCATAACCAGTATCCTCTAACAACTCTGTACAATATTTTCGTTGATTAACCACAATGCCATCAGCACTCCTTACAATTTCCAAGCCAAGGAAATACTTCAGAACTCCAAGGTCCTTGATTTTAAAACTTCTCTTCAAATACAGCTTCACAAGTTCCAGGTCATCAATTCTTTCACCTACCAAGATGATATCATCCACGTATACAAGTAGGATCACTATCCTTCCATGCACATTCTTTGTGAACATAGAGTAATCTGAAGCTGATTGGAAAATGCATTCTTCAACAATGAAGAGGCAACTTTGGCAAACCATTTCCTACTGGTCTGCTTTAATCCATACAGAGACTTCCTTCAGTCTGCACACCTTTCCTTCACTTCCTTCTAATCCAAGAGGTGGAGTCACATACACCTCCTCATCCAAATATCCATGTAACAAAAAAAATATGATACATCCATTTGGTGTAAACACCAGTTTCTAGCTGCTGCTACTGCTAACAATGTCCTTAATGTATGAATTTTGGCAACAGGTGAGAAGGTATCACGAAAATCTATGCCATGAAATTGTGTAAAACCTTTGGCAACTAACCTGGATTTGTACCTTTCAATTGATCCATCATCTTTAAGCTTGGTTTTGAATACACATTTGCAGCCTATAGTTGTTTTTACAGATGGCAGAGTAACAAGATCCCAAGTGTGATTCTCAGTCAAGGCATTCAGTTCCTCTTCCATGGCTTTAACCCAATGTTCTTTGGTTGCTTCCTTGTAAGATTGAGAATCCATGAAGGCAACAAGACTCATTGCATACCTCTTCTATTGAGGAGTGAACTGGTGATAGGAAACATAATTAGCTATACAATACTAGCTAATTTGATTGATAGTGGAACATAGTCTTTATGACAAACTTGTGGTCTTCTCTTCCTTGGAGGAAGTTCATTATCATCCAGTTCATCTCCTGGTGGCAGTGGCAGCTCATCATCTGACTCCTCCTGATAGTCAGGCTCATCCTCAGCAAAATCTTCATCTGTAAAGTGATCCTCTTCTGCTGATGAAACTTGAAGAGTAGGCTCAGGAATACGATCCATTACTGATGAAACCTGAGATCCCAATTACTGAAAGGGGATATTCATCAGTAGGTGTAGTTGGAACAGGTTGAGTAGAATGACCCCTATGAGCATTGACTTCAAGAAATTGGAATGTAGGCAGATTAGGAATGGTAGGTATATCTTCTTGTTCTTCACCCATACCATGAATGGGAGAATATCCTCATAGAATGTCACATCTCTGGACATTAAAACTTCATGGGAAGTCAGGTCAAAAAGTTTGTATCACTTAATTCCAAATGAATATCCCAGAAAAAGGCATTTCCTAGCGTTAGGCTAAAACTTGGTCCTTCCACTATTAAGAGTAGAAGCATAGGCTAAGCAGCCAAAAACTTTCAAGTGATCAAGAGAAGGAGGTCATTGATAGAGCAATTCATAATGACTTTTGTTCTTCAATAGGGGTGTAGGTAGTCTGTTAATCGAGTGAACTGCATGAAGAATGCAGTCACTCCAAAACTGCAAAGGTATTCCAGATGGAAATCTCAAATTCTCTCGCCACATTTAAAATGTGTTGGTGCTTTCGTTCAACCCTTCCATTCTGTTTGGCAACATAAAAATCAGATTGAAAAGTAAGGGAGTCTGGTAATTCATGTGTCCGCAAGGTTAAAGGTGAAACTGGGAATTAACAGAACATTGTTCAAAGAGATCCCTGATGGTAACCTAACAGAACCAATGTGAGTGACTGAGCCTGTGCTTCTGTTTGGTAAGAAAATTGACATACCATGAATGGGTTTCCAAGTAGTAAATAAATTCTTGGAACAAATAATGTGGTCTGAGGCACCTGTGTCTAAAATCCATGTTTGAACAATGGAGGCTGAATGGCAATGAACACTTGAGGTTAAAACATATTTACCAACTAAATTTGGGAATTGTGGCATCTGTTGTGCTACTGAGAGGTTGCATGACGGATGTTTGGTGAATGAGATGGTGATGGCAAAGGAGAAGGAGAAAGTGAAGAATTCATTCCTTGAAGCAGGATCCTGAGCCGGTTCATCTCATCATCAGTTAATTGCAGATTCAACATATTGTCTGAACTATTGCCACTTCCTCCAGAATTTGTGATTCCAGTCCCACTACTAGATTGAGTATCAATGACCCCATCTTCTGCCTCATTCACTGTCCGAACAAAATGATTCCCATCACTTTATTCCTTGTTCTTCCTTTTCACTTCCAATAGTCCGCAATGTTGTGGTTTGTTTTCTTGCAATATCTGCAAAATAGTCATGTTTCACTTACTTATGCATTTCCTTGTTTAGGATTCTGTTTAACAGGATCATTATCATTCCCTTGACTGGCATGTCTGCCATATGATGCAAGAGCTAATGATTGAATGGTTCTTCTTTTATCCGACTTCAAATTTTGTTCATGTTAAAGCAAATCCCCATATGTTGCTACAACCGTATGAAGGGGCTTCATCATCAAGAGTTGGGTCTTTACCCCATCATATGGTCATGTTTCCTTGCTTACAAGCATGAATATCATCTTTCAGATTGGTTAATTTTATAGCATTAGCTTGACCAAGCCTATCTTTCAGTTCTTCCCACAAATTTTGAGCTACTTCATGACTTTGAACACTGCGTTTGATATCCTTATGCAGAGAATTGATAATCCATCAAAGGACGATAGTGTTACAAGCATCCCATGCTCTATACCAATTAGGGTCAGTTCTAAAATCTGGGATTTCAACAGATCCATCACTAAAACCAAGCTTATACTTGGTTTTCAGGGCTATGCAAATAGATCTCGCCCACATATGATACTTACTACCATCTAGGACTTCACAAATGATGGACTGAGAGAGATTTTCATTAGGATTCTGATAGAAAGGGTTACCAAACTGGAAATCGGGAGAGGGTTGAGAGGATTATGTTGATCATTTTATTGCTGCGCTTTTGGTTGAATGAACAGCTGAACTAGACATGGATTGTTCTTCACCACCACTCATCGTGACTCAAAGCTGTTGCTCCATCATGGAGCAGGATTCCTGAATGGCGCCTTGCTCTGATACCATAAGAGAAACGGAAGAAGATTTAGGATTTGGGTGGAGGAGTAGTAGAAAACCTATTGTCCTCTCTTTAGTGTTATTCTATTTATATCAACTCACAACGACTAATACACAGTGTTATCCATTGACCCAAGCCCGACACGTGGCTGGTTTGGCTTCGTTATTGACAAAAAAATCTGAACTTAAACAAATTAAAGAATAATGGATGAAACGAGGGCGTAATAAGAAATGCCACTTTAGTTCTAAAATTTCATTCTTCTCCACTTCAGTCCATCGTGCTAATACTGATGAATTGCCTGAATCCTTGCTACATTAGGATTGCAATGGATGACTGCAGTAGCTGTTGTCTTTCTGGTACCAGCTCCCTGTTGGTCTTCCAATAGAGGATGCTAGGATGGATGGGGTGGTGATCAACTTGGCAAGCTTTCTGATTGGGACCGAGCCGAGTGTTAACGAGAGCAAGTTCTTGTTGCCTGCTTTGTTTGACCCTGCTTCTTCCACCTCCTCTATTGTGGGGTGAAATTACCGGAATATATGTGTTGTATATGTACAAACTAGCTGTGATGTGAACCCGACCAATTGGCCTGATAGTTTGATTTGATTGTGTATATTTGTTGACTTTAATGACTTTTTCGTATTTGAAATCTTTCATGTTCTTGTTGTCCCACGATATTTCAATGAAATTCATGCGAAAGCTCAACTTATGGGCTAACTTCACTACAAACTACTCAATACTCAAATGAATTTTTTTTTTTCGTGTAGCGCATAGCCAAAGCATATTTTTCAGTCAAAATACTTGAATACTAATCGAGGAATATTGAATGTTTGCTAAGTCAGACATATATAATGACCAATAATCAATATATTTTTGTGACTAGATTAAATTAAGATAGTTAAATTAATTATCAAACTTGAAGTTCAACCCTCGCCAACAAACTTTGAGTTCTCGCAGGAAAACGTCGCCTACGTTGGGTTTTCGACGATATGATCTACTTCTGGCTCCCAAAATCCAAATCAAACCATATACATAGACTCCCCATCTCTAGGCACTCCTTCCACCATATTTGGGGGAGATTTGGCAACAATTTTGTCACCGACGAGCACTTTCAAGCGAGCCTTCAGAAAGTTTCCGGCGACCTTCTGATAACCTTCTCCGGCCATTTTTTTGGCCGAATCACGACTCCTTCACCTCCTTCTCACCTTTCTCATCGATCCTACTTGTGTCTCCATGTGTGTTTCGAACTTTTTATTTATCAATTTTGGAGAATTGGATCTTGAGTTCTAGGGTGAAGAGAAATAGGATTGTTGATTGAAATGATGAAATTGGGCAATGGATTTGATTAATGATAATTGTTTGCATCTATCTAGATTGGTTGTGTGCTTTTTTGTGCCTTGGTGGGCATAATTTTGCATGTTATGGTTCTTGATACCAAGTTATGCATGTTGAATGGTAGCCATTGAGACATGATGTAGACTTGAAAATGCAACCTTATTGATCTATGAAACACTTAGTTTCATGTTTCGATGTGTTTTAGGGATGTTTAGGCTTATTTGAAGGTGATCCGAACTTGTGAAAAGCTTAGGCCGGCTTGTCACCTAGTTGGAAAAAAGTGTGGGGGATTGATGTTTTCTCCCCAATATGCTTTGTCGATGAAAATTCCACGTATTGGGCTTGAAAATTCCAATATCAGGGTCTCTAATTCCAGGATTCGTAGTGTCATCCTTCCCCTCCTCAGTCCTCACTAGGATAAGTCTCCCTAGGATGACAACTGCCAGTCATGAGTGCCATGTTGGCACCATACTAATATCACTTCACTTCTCTCCCCCATGATTGTAGACTTTTGTTTCTTTTTTCTCTTTTGTGTGTTTGATTGTGAAGTAATTAGTTCATTTTTCATGTGATTTTTGAATATTGTGTTTATGTGATAACCTCGCCTTTGGCGATCATGTGTTTGTGTTTTCTCCGTGCGAATCTCTCCCTCTCTCTCAAAACTTTTCCAAATCCATTCTGAATTTCACTCGCCAATGATTTGGTAACTTTGTTCCACCCTTATTCTTGCTCCATTGAGGGAAAATTCCGTGCTTAAGTGTGTTTATGTTTGGGGGGTGTTGAGTATGTATGTGAATGGCAAGTGAATAAAAATGCGATGAATGACTTGTATATTGAATGCTTTGGAGCCTTGATATTGCCCAAATTCCTACAATTTGAGGGCCCCGGGCACTTGTGGATGAGTGATTGAGTGTTGGCCTACATTATGAGTGTATTAGAACCTAAGGTGTATGCTCAAAATTTAAAATTTTAGGGGTTTCACACACATTGTCCCATGCATGATTCATACTCACTTCACTTTGAAAACTTTGGTGGCGTGCATCATAGGGAGGAGTGTGGTACTACAAAGATTATCAATCATGAGTGACTTTACTACTATTTCCTCTTGGTTGTGTTTATATTGTTTGCTATCGAGGTTATGACAAGTCTATGGGACTCTCCAGGTAAAATACCTCGGGTGTCACTTAAGTTTGAGAATTGGGCTAGATATACCACTCAATTTTGAATAGGGCGTCGGATACCACTAAACTATATTATATGTGCACCCGGTACCACTTAAGTTTACTGATAAGGGCATTCTGTTAAAGTTGACAGAATATTCTTGGAATATTCTGTTTTCTTAATTTCATAATTGGTCCTTCTACTTTTCTTATTGTTAAACAAATCATTTGGACTTCTGAAAAACATCAATTTTGATTGTTTAGTTAGAATCCTCTTTTGAATATTTGATATCAAACCAATTTTTGAATATAAAATTTAGAATCAATTATCATTATAATTATTTTTAATTATCATTATGTGTTCTAATAATTGAATTATAACATGAATGTTGTAAGTAAACAATATTGTAACTTTTATAGTCATATTTTATTTTCTACATTTTTTACCGAATGTAGTAGCTTTTATATTTTATTTGTTATTTGGTTACTTTTCATCTCTTTTCGTTCTTAATATTTTCAATTAGTGGAATATGTTTAATTTCTTCAGATTGTATTTCATTCCCTCTTCGATTTTGATGTATTGATGATCGATTAGATTCTATTTTAACTATTTCTAATGGTGATTCTAATTGAACTAGGGGATTTAAATAGATATTCTAATTTTTATTTTTATTTTTTATTATAATATTATAATATATTTATTAATAATTTTATATTCGTTTATTATTTTATTATTTTATTGACAAATTTTGATTAGTCATTCTATTAATAACATATTTAGAAGGTTTTCTAAATAGTATATTAGATAAAACTTGTTGAAATATAGTTTTGGATATTTTTAAAACTTTTGGGTATCAAAAAGTAATTAAAAGTTTGGGTTGAATGGAAAAGTAGACAGATGGACATTTTGGCGACATTAGTGGTACCCGACGGCCTATTCTAATTTAAGTGGTATGTCTACTCTAATTCTCAAACTTAAGTGTCAACCAAGGTATTTTACCCGTACTCTCCCCGATTTCGAGCTCCAATTTTTATTTTATTTTTAGCAAAAAGGTGCTCCAATTTGAAAAATATTTTGAAAGCATGGACCAGGAAACGGATCGGACTGGGTGGTTGAACCGGAAAAACCGGAAATCGGGCCAAATCCGGAATGATACCTGAAGTGCAGACAAATTGCCGTAGCGGCCGGTATTTGTGGTCGAAATGGCTTCCAGCAAAATACCGGCCGGTGTTGATTCAACGGCCGGTCCTTTAATTACAACGAAAAATCAACCCACTTACACAGAACTCTGTCGTTTTATTTGAAGAAAATTAAGAAGAGATTCGAAAATAACAAATTTCGGATTTCCAACAAATTTTGGATTTCCAAAATCCTAACTTTTCATTCTGGTCGACAATCGGATCTAGCCGCCCCCAACGAAAAAAGATTCCAGGGTCAAGCCCTTCTCGTCACCTGCTCTTCGTCTTCTCCCTGGCGATCTGATCCACTATTCTCATCGTTTGTCGATTCGTTGTTCCTTAACGTTCGTCGATTCGTCGTTTGTCTTCCCGATGGAAGCAAGGACAAGGATTCTTCGTTCTTCCTCTCCCGATTCATTCTCCTTGTGGTTTGTTGTTCATCTTTCCATGCCGAGCTTATTCAAGAAGGCCGCGGCGGAGAGATGGAAGTTCCCGACCGAGCCGATTGAAGAACATTGGGGGGATTGGGAGAGAGAGAGAGATGGAGCCTAGTTATTATTTTTTGGGAGAGTTTGGTTAGAGAGAGTGAGGTGGAGCGGCGGGGACGGGTGAGAGAATGAGATGGGGTAGGTTGTTACTTTTTAGGTTTAGGGTTAGCTTTTTTATGTTTTAATTATTATTATATATACTAAAGGTAAATTATTATATTTTAATAAAAAGGAAAATACAAATTAGTCTTCAAACTTTTTACTCTTAAGCTTATTAAAAAAACTTTTTTTATATGAATCGGTGGGATCTTTATTCATCAAAAAAGTGTTGTTAGCAACACCCTTGCTAGCTAGGGAACCAAACCAAGCGTTGGGAAACAAAGAAACGAAGACCTAACCTCTGAAACAGAACCTTAGTTTAGACATTCCAAAATAGGCTAACACGCTCACTACCCAAAACACATTCAACTTTTGATTGAATCAAGTTCAACAATTCATGAAAACCCTTAGCACCATCCCCATACAATAATCTACAACGATCTCTCCATACCTGATGTATCCACGATTGGCAGATGAGTCTTTCCGCTTCAGCAACTTCAGTATGGTGGCTAATCTTTGAGACCATCCACGAAAGTAGTCCCTCCCATGTCTGAAGTAAAGGAACTTGCAGAGAACCACTAAAAAGTGCATCAAGGAGCTGTCTTGTGAAAGGACAGAGTGAAAACAAGTGTTGCCTACTCTCAATCCCTCCACCACAGAAAGCACAGGACATAGGTCCCATAAACCCCCACTTCTACATTCTATCTTTTGTATTAATGCTACCTCTAATAACCAACCAAGTAATGACACAATTTCTGGGAATAGAGTTGCCTTTCCAGACAATCTTCCACCAATCCACCTTCTGCTGAGTAGGGCGAATGAGATGCCACACTCTCTTAATAGAGAACCGATGCATAGGAAGGAAATTGAGAAGTAATTGTAATGTTGAAGTGTGTATAATTGTAATGTTGCATGTTGTTGAGTGTTGTAGTTATTTAATAATTTACAACTTAATATCAGGTATATCTCAGTTTTATTCCGGTATTATTCCGAAATAGTATTATGATTTTGTCGGTACGATATAGTTATAAAAAATTTATTTTTTTATTTTAAAAATTGAATTTTTGCAGTACAAAATGGTTGTACCACAAAATACCCTACTATAGACGAATCTGGTATGACTTCTGGTACGGTTTCATGGACCATGTTGGAAAGATGAGTGTTCCCACGTGAGAGTCAACCAGACATAGTGTTTGAGTTAATCCCCTAAAGAGTTATTCTCTTGGTCCAGAGTATCATTTGAGGATGTGCCTGGGGATCATATAGCTTCTTAGTACCCAACCATCATTATTTTCTAACTTCCACCCCGTACACTTCTCCTCCTTATAGGACATGTATAAGAGGAGATCGTGTGCCTCTGCGCAAGTTAGGAGACCTAGGTTCTCGTTGTTCCCTCACATGTGGCAACTTGTGTATCATTGAAATGAGAGTGCATGTTGGGAATTGCTGCTTGAGAGATCGGGACTTACGCTCAAACGCTTCACCTTCCGACCATATTCCATTCTCTCAACCATCACTATCCCCACATGAGGTTTATAAAGAGAAGTTATTGTACTTCTGCACTTAATCAACAGGGAGAGAACCTTGTTTGCAAATGTGGTGCCATGTTCAGCAAAGTTAATTTGAGGCACAAAGTTTGATTCATCTTTTGAAAAATTAGGAGCACAACCATGGAGTCCTCTCTCATCGCCAAATCTCCCTAAAATCCAGTGGAAGGAGTGCCTAGAGATGGGAAGTGTGGGTATGTCCTTTGTTTTGGATTTGGGTGGCCGAAAATAGATCACATCCTCAAAATCTCATCATAGCTGACGTTTTCAGACAAGAATTCAGAGATTTTCGATGAGGGTTGAACTTCACGTTTGACATGAAAAAATTATTCATTGAGTATTAAATGAATGGTTATGAAGTTAGCTCATAAGTTGAGCTTTCACATAAACTCTGTTGAAATCCAACAAGGCTACATGAAGGATTTCAAACATAAATGAAATAATCAAAATCAACAAATATAAATAATAATAATAAAAACACAATTGGCCAATAGGCTGGGTTCAAAATTGGTTTGTAGGTTTGCATATACACCAAAGTTTTATCTTGTGATCTCAACCCACAGTGGAGCATGTGGAAGTAGAAGGGTCAAACAGACCAGGCACCAAGAACTTTCTCCCTTTTATCCCATTGGCATTGTAGCTTCCACCACTCTTATCGTCCTTGAGCAGCTCCCCTGCAAATCCAGGGTGTGATCCTTTCCCGAACACCCCTGGACAGGCCGACCCAGCCTCCAATGGGGACTCTTTTGGGCCCTGGAAATACCCATCCCCAAATGGATTCGTCACGGTCCCGGCCAGCAGGCTCGCCAAGTTGATCACTACTCCATCCATCGCAGCATCCCCATTGGGCGCAACCAGGACCGGGCCCGGAGGCCCATTGGCAGCCTGGTGGAACGGCCACTCGCACAAGCCGGGGCACTGAGTCTCCGAGTTCCCCACCCAGATGTAAACCGATCTCGACGACGAGCTCTTCCCGTTAATCTTCGACAGCGAGGGGACAATGCCGTGGTTCCCACACTTTGCCCTGCAAATACGAAATGGCAAAAATAATTGTACTCGTGAATATTGTTGTCCGAGCCCGATCTAATTGATAAAAATGAAATTCGAATCAGAATGATTTTTATTAGGTATACATGATTTTTTTCATTGTCCAATCCAAACTTGCCTAATAATCATTATTTTCTCAATATATTTAATATTTATCGTTTTCATGAAATTGTATTATTTTCTTAACCAGCTTTCTTCGTTCTAGTAATTTGTTATGGTAATTTTTCACTTATGCGAATGTTAGTATATGTGTTAGTTATAATGAGAAATTATTATCAATGGATGCAGGTAGATAGCCGAAACCCTATTGGATTTTTGGCAATAATTGTGATATTCTATTCGATTCTTGTAAGATATGGATATTGATAAAACTCGAACTATTTTGAATAGGATAACGAATATGCACTATATGCACCCAGACCCGACCCGTTACCTGCAAAAGCCCTCAACGACGACGTCGTTGGCTGTGATAACCACGGGAAGTACTGCTCCATCCTCCTCGATGTTGCCCTTCTTTGCAAGCTCAACGAGTTGGTTCTGGGTCAGAGATTTTCCCAAGGAGTAGTCGTCGTCGTCGATCAATTTGGGAGAAAGGGAGATGGAGGGCAAGGTGAGGCCGTTTTTGGATTTGAGGGTCGTGTAGTACTTGTCCAATAGGTTCCACCAGTTGAAAACAGAAGGTGGCGGATTATCTGAGGCCATATCGGCGTCCAATGAGGCAAGGAATTCCCTCACCGTCACCTTCTGGGCGGGTTTGAAAATGCCGTACCAGACGAGGGTGACGGTGATGTTGCCGGAGAGGAGATCGCCGTTGTGGTATTCGAACGGAACGTCCGCGGCGGAGATGTGGGACGTCAGGGAGATGATGATGATGATGAGCAAAGATGCTAGGGTTTGAAGGGGACGGTGATGATATAAGGAGGAAGCCATGCCTGCGATCGATATGAAATTGATGATGATAATTTACTGGTAGGGAACACACAGAAAAGTGTTAATGGGATTGGTGATGGAATAGAATGATCAACGTTATTTGTTATATATAACTAGTGATTAGCTGCGCGATACTACCGCGCAAGACATAATAATTAAGTGGTTTGAGAATATTGGAAGTTTAAATACTTACTGAAGAAAAACTACTGCCATTAATTTTCACACATATTTCGCATTCTTTTTATTTTTTTTATAATGATTAATAATTTGCTGAACTGTTGACGTTCTGATATTTTTGGAGTTTTAATTTAACATAAATAATTCTAATCAAAATTAAATAGGGAGTCAAAAGTCAAAATCGATAAACAATTATATTGGGAGAAGCTAGGGTGCTAACTCCTATAGGGGTTAGCATCATCCTAACCATTATTTACAACATTCATTCATGTTTTAAATCCAAAGGTGCTACTTAATTAAAGGGCAATTTAGGACAAAATGGAGAAAAAAAATTATTAAATAAGTGAATAAGTGAAACATTCTATAAATTAAAGGGCCTACTTAATTAAAGGGCAATTTTAAATCCATATAATTAATTATTCTATCAAATAAAATTATTAAATAAGTGAAACATTCTATAAATTTGGTTTTTAGAAATTGTGTTCTTTCCTTCTCTCTTCTTTTCTCTCTGAAAACCTAAACGAAATCGCGATGGTGTTCGTCATTAGTGGTCGATCTTGGGTGTCGTAGTTTGGAATTCTTGAAGATAATCATCTAGATAACTAGAAACAGGAGTATGTGAACGGATAGTTAAGAATTCCAAGGGAGGTGATAGAAGAAGGTTCGAAGCGTTGGGAGCAAGGTTGTTAAACCCCTATCGAACCCCTCGGTTGGACCCGGTTCAACCCGAGTCGGGCTTCAAAACGGTCTCCAGAAAACCCCCCGGTCTGACCCCTAAACAGGGAGAAGAAGAGAGGCAGAAGAGAGGAAAAAGAACGAAGGAAGGGAAATGGTAGGTGGATCATGGAGGTTAGGTAGATTTATTTTGTTGAAAATAAGTTTTTAATAGATATATGTAAAATAAATTTTATTTCACTCAAGGTCTCTTGGATGGGGCGGTGACTGGTTCTATTCCAAATTCTCAAGGTGGAGATCTGTCAATGGGTGTTCTGGAACTGACCATGGCACCACAGTGAAAATTTGGTTTTTCTTCACAAATGGGAGCCAAGAATCACCATCCACTACTTCCAATTCAAGGTGCTCTATTGACATATGCATAGATTATCTTTCTAGGCCAAAGCATGAATCACTAGAATGTGATCAGGACTCAAGTAATTCAGAGAAAGTACTTCAATTGGATATAAATCAATCAATCATTAAAGGCAAAGGGTTCATATAACTCATCCTAACATAAAATTTACGGTTTGAAATACCCAAGTGATAGAGGGGGGTTACCCCATAGAGAGAGAGCGGAAAGCTAAGCCGAATGTGGAAATCATCTTGCCGAAGGAAGAAATCGGCACCGGGTCGTCAATCATCTCTCCTTGAGGCTTGAATCGAACTCCAATGGTGTAGAATTTGATCTAGGGCGCTCAAGAGTCTCTCTTTGTCACTTTCTCTCTGTGAACCTCTGTTTTTTCTCCAGAATTTGAATCCCCTCTCCAAAACCCGAAATTGGGTTTAAAACCCAACACTGCTTGATCACATGGCCAGCACACACGGCCGTGTAACATCCTTATCTGTATGTGTAAACCAAAACGCCACGTTCCAATTAGTTCTCTGCAGGCTCTACACGGCCAGCGCACAGTCGTAGCAAAATCATGCAAAGGAAGAGTCAACCTATTGTTCATGAATCAAAGCGTGACACAAATCCTACTCACACACCACAGTCAACCATGCATAGAGTTCAAGTTACTAGAATCGAAGACTGAGCAATCAAGGTCCGCATCGGTATATAGAATATAAGGAAATGAATCGCTCACTCTCGACCAGTGGGGTCAGGACATTTGATGCGAAAAATGCGCATGCTTTTTCTCTTAATCCTAATGTCTCTTCACCATGATGGCAACCTCTAAATGCTAGAGTTCACATATCGGGTGTCATCACCAGCTAGTCAGGAGGTCTTAGACACGGGTTCAGATGACTGGTTAGGGTCTTGGACATGGGGAAAAGGCCTTTTAGGTGGTGGAAGAATTCATACAAAAGGTTCCACATTTCCAAAACCAACACAACAACATTCATTCGAACCATTTACTTCCTTTCTGCTATTCTGTAACTTAGGTTCTTGAGAGCACTGACTCGCTCTTACCGTCACTCTAGAAAATGGCCAAGTGTAACCACTTCCTAAAGCGTAGTATTGCGGGTTTGTATTTTAATGTCAATCCGGGTCCTAGATGTGATGACTACTCCGTGAGTTCTTATTATTTAGCCGTGAAACTTTAGTGCAAATACAATCAAGAAAACAAGCAAAGCAAGTAAAAAGGTTGTTTTCAAGTCGAGAGAGGTCACTCGGATATGGTTCCCCCTAGAATGCAGTTAACCCGGATTGTAATTTACCAAGTTCAATTTCAATGATAGTTATACTGCGGGAGGTTCTTAAACAGTCTGAAGTCTCGACTAAAGGTCTCCAGACCTTCTCAATCTGAGTCTCCAGCTGGCGACTAACCTCCACCGGAGTAAATAGATTGAGGCCCTAACGAACCAAACCTCCACTACCGAAGTAAATTCGGTACAGAATAGTGAATTAACTTCTCGACTAAAGTCTCCAATTCACTACCTTCAATCAAGGGTGCTCTATCAACCTAGGTAGATATTCTCTTTCTAGGTTAAAGCAGAAACAACAGGAATTTGATCAGGATTCATGTCATTCAACAAATCAAACCTCAATTGAACATAATCATATCAATGAATCTGTACTTGGGTTCATACAATCAGACCTAACATACAAATCTAGGGTTCTTCATACCCAGGTGAATAAGAAAGTTACTCCGTAGAGAGAGATGGGAAATCTAGCTCAGATGCAGAAACCATACTGTGAAGGATGGGAATCTTCTTCTGGCACTCAATCATGTCTTCTCCAAGCTCAAGCCGCGCTCCAATGGTGATGGAGATCGATCAAGGACACTTGCAGAGTCAGGTTCATCACTTTCTCTCTCTAAGTATCGCTCTTTCTCTCTAAAACTCTGAACTCCACTCCTTTGGCTGGAAATTGGGTTAAAACCCAGAAATTCCCGATCACACGGCCAGGCCACACGGCCGTGTTACTTTCCCAGCTGCCCTTGTGAGTGTCAAAACGCGGAGTTTCGATTAAGTGGACTTCGACCATCCTACGCGGCCACAACCACACGGCTGTGTGGATTTCCAGGCTGCCCGTGTGAGTTCCCTGGAATTTCCACACAGCCACAAGCGGTCCCTTACACAGCCCGCGTGATTTTGCCCGTGCAATTTGATGTCACACGGCCAGGTCACACGGCCGTGTAGGTTTTTAGGCGTGCCCGTGTGGCTCCATCAGCTTCTCGCCAAATGTCCAATCTTCGTCCAATCGACCCCGAACTCATTCCCAAGCCTTCATTCACGTACTAGGACCTGAAATATCACAAACAAGAACAACCTAGCGTGAAATCGGCCTAAAACGTGAGAATCGACATCCCAAACGGCTCAAGAATAGGGGTAAAACATGTGCAATTAATGGTCTATCAAATTCCCCCACACTTAACCGTTTGCTTGTCCCCAAGTAAACCTAACTCAAACCAATGCAACTCTCCAGACCTCTATATCAACAAACAACCCCGATCGTCGGTAGAGGATTTCCTAGATCATATAGCAGCGTACGAGGTCAACTGGTCTTCTAAGACGTTCCCTATCTCTCTCAATGCGAGTACTAGACTCAAACCAGGATCATGAGAAGAAGTGAAAGTAAGACAGTCAGTTCATGGATAAAGGGACTCACACCATTCACAACCAGGGACTCGTGGTACCGGGGTGCTCTTTCACTTCATTTCACTGTTGGAACCCCTTTTTCTCACTTTCCTTTACACATTTTTCCCTTTTTCTTTCATTTGGCGGGGTTCCAACTGCAGTCTTTTGCACGGTCGACCCTTATTAGTCGAGCAAGAGCAATTTATGTACATCTAGCGCTTGCCAGAGTACTTCTTTTAACTCCTTTTCCTCAACTCGTGTGGAGGGTCAATGAAATTAAGGGGGGTCGGAAGCTCTATCTGTGCCCTTAAAAACACATCCTCGAGTAGGCAAACCGTTCAACGGGTGGAAGTTTTACTTATACTAGAGACAACTTAGCTTCACCTTGTAGGAGTACCCCACTAAGGATCACTAAAATCTCCTCCAAAACCCGATTTTGTGCAATGAACGGCGCCACACACGTTGGGCTTACCCCATGTTTAAGATTTAATGATTTTGACATGGAGGACCAACTGCATTTCATTTTTCACATGAGCACCCTGTTAGATACACGAGTCCATAACACAATCCAAATGGAGTCACCATTATCACATGAATTCAACGGTCTTATACTTCAACTGGCACAACAGAGAGCTAGATAGGAAAAATCTTATACTTCAACATCCTCCATAGTGCTACACTACCTCCCTAGGTTGCACATTACTATAGAGACTGTCAATTCAAAGCATACTGAGAAGGCAATTTGCAAGGAGACACATACTTGGAGCCCTCAAATCGAAATTTGGACAGTGGACTAGGCTCCAAGCACACAAACAAATCTAATGCAGTGAAAAGAGAAACATCCCCCCACACTTAAGTTCGACATTGCCCTCAATGGAGAAGAGGGAAGGATAAGGGGAACGATGTTACCGGTGTGCACGGACTACATGAGACTAGAAGGGAACCAGTCTGAGTGAAGAGGACTGGAGAGGGGACCAGTCAGGGACACAGGCACATCTAAAGGAAATAGAAGAACTCAAACACAATACGTTAGGTCCAATGGTCATCCCAATAGTACATCATCCAAAAAAAAAAGAAAACAAACCAAAACCAAACCAGTTTGCAATCCGACCCAAAAGAAAAGAAATAGATGCAAACCGTGGTGGGGTTGCCTCCCCACAAG